GGGAGGACTCCTGTGCATTGCAGGCTTGGTAGCGACTTCCTTCGCTAATAGCCTCACTGTCATGTACTTTACTTACGGTTTGGTGTACGGAATGGGGGCCTGTTTCATTTACAACTCTTGCTTCTTGGTTGTTGGAACGTATTTCAAACAAAAACTCTCGTTAGCTGTTGGTATAACGGCATTAGGATCTGGTGCAGGTGTCTTTTACAACGGTCCGTTGCTACAAGCTCTTTTGGACGCGTTTGGATGGAGAAACACATTTAGAGTAATGACGGCAACCTTCGCTCTTGTTTGCATTTTGAGTTTGAATTTCAATCCAAATGTAGAGACAACATCGGAGGTGGATGTGGAATCAGAAACTTTAGACGCGGAACAAAAACTAGGAATTAAGGGAAGAATCACTTTTTACTGCAGCGTGTGGACATTTCCTGTTTACACTTTTGTAGTCATTTCTATAACAGTTGGAAGTTTTGGCATGTTCATTCCAATCATCAATCTGGTTAGTATACAGCTTTTCATAGTATAGCTAATTCTTTTGTCATTTAAAAAGGAAAAAATATTTGATAAATGTGTCGACATGGGCGAAGGTCCATATTCAAGAAAATCTGTATTTTGTATCATGAGTTCAATAATTGCTTGAGCTTTGCATGGTCTTGTTAATACTTGTGTGCCACAGTAAGGATCAACATGCACGTTTTGTATCAGGTTTTGTGCTAAGCGGAAGGTCTCGGTTGTTAAAACATCAGTTCCTTTAGGCAGGAGTTTAAAACCAAATACACCCCGTCTTCACAGCCTCTAGGCATTTAGGCAAGTATTGCCCCGGGATCCTGGCATTATTTTGTAGGTGAATAGTCAGCCTTTTCCAACCATCAATGTGGACGAGGTGCATATCCACGTCTGCTTAATAAGCGCATGGAACAAGCAAGTGACAACCATTGACTCTATGACCTGCACTCGAAATCAATTTATAACCTTTTTAAATATATACAATCCTTTTAAAATTAAGACGTTTACTTTGAAGATCTGTGGAATAATGGGAATTCTCTCTGTCGTCTCCTCTTCTCTCCGTATGCTCCATTGACAAATTTATGAAGCCACAATCTGTATAAATCCTAACTAGGTCAAATATTGTGAGGATCTTGGGATCAAGGCGCAGAGTGCCTCTCGATTGTTCATCTTCATTGGCCTTACCTCATCCCTTGCACGGATTCTGTCAGGAAAACTGTGCGAATATCCAAAGATTAACCCAGTGTTTGTCTATCAGTCGTCCCTGTTTATTGGTGGTGTATCTG